ATATCAAACACGGAAAGAAGTCAGCAATACAGTCTGATTGTGTGTAGAGACCAGGAAACAAACTGAGTGCATTATATTTTAAAATTACCATTTCGCCACACAGTAATTGCTCTCATTATCGTGGATTACAAACTCTTGGGATATTGACTGCTGGACAAAAACAGCAGAAGAGGGAGAAACAATGAATACATTCTCCTTAAGAAATCCCTCAATTCAGAACAGCAAGATTTTTTGATAGACAATTGTGATTATTTTTAAAGCAAACCACTAAATAACGTGGAACCAAAAGGTATACAGGAAAAAGCACAATGACCAACGCAAAGCCAGTGGGTCCTCACTTCCTTCATTGTCTTCCTTGGCAAACAATGTGCTCGTTATCAAGCTCAGGTGACAACAGAACGTGCTCTGTGTGAAACAGATAAGTCGGTAAACTACAGTAAATGTATACTGAGCACATCTAGGAGTCACCCCTGTGCACATTGTCATTATACAGCATGCTCTCTCAATACCACGATTGAAAGATTACCACAGTGCCTGCATACCAGGACAAGACAGAAGTCTAAGCATTTATAAACACAAGGTTCAGAAGGTTTTCCAATCCTCGTTAACTCAGACACATGACCAGTTCTAAAATTGTGAGGCCCACAAATATTTTCTGTGTGTTAAATTTCCAGCTGACTTATTAAAAGGTCTTGAAAACCGAAATAGACTGGACATCTGTTCAACGTACAATTAAAAGCTTAGTGTCTTTCTAGCAAGTTCCATTCTTTCAAGAGAATCTGCAGAGGAAATACCTTTCGTCTTTGTACAGGCCCTCTTGAAACAATGAGACTCGCAAGAAATATCCCACCAATCAATTTTTTTTTGACCGAAAAAAAACAGAACAAGACCAAATTACCGAGTCCGAGCCCGCATTGCTGCATCTTCAGAGGATAAAATCATCTGAACGACATCTCAAGGCTAAGGCGTTCCACATTGTGTAACACTTTCCATTTTTCCCTGCTGAGTGACACCTGTCGGAGACGTGGCTCACTGAGGGTCAGGATTATGTCATGTTGGTGGAAGAAGCCCAGATCAGCTTCCAGGCCGCTCTGCGGGTCCAAGCAGATGGAGGGCTTAGTCTCCAAGGACGAGTTTCACCTTCCGCCGAGCTCTCCAAAACCAAAATTACAAAGGGAGGGGAAAAAAAAAACAAGGCAAAAAAACCTCTGAAGAACAAACGGGCAGTCGCTACAGAGATCACAGCAGCTGGATTTCTGCACCTTTTCAAATCCTGCTCCAGCCCGAAGCCATGCCTAAATCAGCTGATCGTGAACACTCCGGTTATTTTAATAGAATAAAAATACATTACTTTTTTATTGAAAACATGCACTACCATTATTCATATCAGTGCTGTATTCTAGTCATATTGGCAGAATGAACAAAGAAATGACTAACAGACCTAATAATAATACACTTATAGAGCGCTTTCCTTAACCCTCCACTCAAAGCGCTTTACAGGTAATGGGGAATCCCACTCCCACCACCAGTGTGCAACCCCACCTGGATGATGCGACAGCAGCCAGAGTGCGCCAGTCCGCTCCCCACACACCAGCTCTCAGTGGGGTGGAGAGTTCAGAGATGGGGATTATTAGGAGGCCATGACTGGTGAAGGCCAGGGGGAAATTTGGCCAGGACAACAAGGTTACACCCCTACTCTTTTCGAAAAACGCCCTGGGATTTTTAATGACCACGGACAGTCAGGACCTTAGTTTTTGGACTCGGCTGAAAGACAGCACCTTTATTACAGTATAATGTCCCCATCACTACACTGGGGCATTAGGACCCACACAGACCGCAGGGTGAGCGCCCCCTACTGGTCCCACTAACACCTCTTCCAGCAGCAACCCTAGCTTTCCCCAGGAGGTCTCCCATCCAGGTACTGGCCAGGCTCACACCTGCTGAGCTGCAGTGGGGCTGCCAGCTGTGAGCTGCAGGATGATATATCTGCTGGCTGCTGACAAGACCGGAGTGGGATCTGCACCCTCTCTTGTCTGTTGGGGCAGGTATTTTTTCGGGAGGGGTCTGTACTTTTCGGCTGCATAGAGGCGATTTCCCCGATGCAGCTGTCCAGTCAGTAAGAAGATGGACACTACGGTTAGGGCACCTTCTTCTTGTAACCCTCCTCATAAGGGACAAGCACAGCAGACCTGAAAAAGTCCTGCTCAATTACAGCTACAAAAAAAAACAAAACATTTCAGCCTTAGCCAAAGTGCACAACAACAGCACACATCCAAAAAGAGATCAGCAAACACCAGAGTCTGCAAAAGTGTTTAATCTAATTAAAAATACATTGGGGGAAAAGAAACGAATTTATACCAAATTGATGTGTTTAGAGGTACTGTGAACAAACTGCCTTGATTGCTTTTTTTCCACATACTGGGTAAGATTTATATATCATATAGTCTGGCAAACAACAGTGATGCTATCCTGAGCCTCACGTTCGCTTCAACTCAGGGTGGAGGACAGGCGATGGTGGGGAAGTATTTTGCACTACAGGCAGGTGGTTGATTGGTTTAAAAAAAAAC